ACAAAAGCCTGGTAATTTGAAACCATTATATACATTATTTTATAAACTTCTTTTTAAACACCAAAACATACATCTTTTACAAACCAGCCTGCTTGCAACAGGTAAAATTTACAAGACAATCTTTTCCGATACAGTGCTTTGAAGAGAACTGCTTTCACTCCTAAACTTGTCACCTCTTGAAAAGCGGCAGTATGGGCTCGTTGCATTGTTAAATAATAGCAATTCAGGTATTCCTATGGCAGAAAACTGCTACAGTTCTGAGGGCTCCAGTCTCTTTCCATAATACAGTTCAAGTGCACTCTTAACACTGGTAAAGATTACTTATGGCCTTTCTGTAATACGACGTATTTGCAATTATTGCTTTTCATTATTACATAAAGAAATGGATTTAATTTCATTTCCTCCCCATCCGCCCATCCCTTGGATGATGCAGCTAATTTGCTAACTGAATGGCCCTTCTGATAATGGAGATGGTAAATGTCAAGTTTATGAAACACAGGCTAAAAGCCATGGATAATGGGCGATAGTCTAAATTTCTAAGGCTCAAACCATAGTTTGGTGTGTTGAGAGGAACAGAGATGCAAACAGGCAAAAAGCACAGTTTTACTGCATGGTAAATGATGGTAAATCATTAGAGAATGAACCTGAAGATGTAGGTCTCTTGTTGGAAACCTATGAAAGGTCCATTACTACTCAGTGAATAGCTCCAAAAAATACCACCAAAGCACAGCTGTACTTTCACTACTGGCTTTAAATAGCTGTTTCTCTCCGTTATTAAGGACGCTACCTTTTCAAACAAAGCTTAGCAGAACTGCTCCACAGCACCTTCAACGCTCTCTCTCTCACGACTTTCAATTATTAGCAGGTATAAGGATACACTATACCATCCGTTTAGCTTTTTAAAGCAGGAGCTCAGTGTGGAATAAAGCTGTGTTCTTCATCATTTGTTTTGTCTGGCCCACATTTCTCTTTACAATGGAATTTATATTGCGCAAAAAGCAACAATTTTTCTGTCACATTCTCAAAGTTTACCACCTGCCTGGCTCAGAGACAACAGGCTGCTGCATCCCCGGTAAACAGCTTTTCAGTGGCATGCATCACTGTGCTCCATCTAATCAGAGCTTCTGACTGGAGAGGGTACCGATGCATCAAGGCTAGCACTACTTCAGACTACACTAGGGAATTTAGAAAAGGGGAGAAAAAAAATTCTGAGGATCAAAATTTAACTTGTCTGTAGGACAAGCAGAGAGGGTGAGCCTGCTTGAGAGATGGAGCACACAACATTCTGACTTCAGAAAAAATGGCAGTGGGAAGCCTTTGACTCCTTCCAGCCTTGTATTGCAACTGTAGGCAAAGGAAATCGCGGGATAATTCAGGACGACAGATGCCACTGAGCTTTAGGAAAATAGCTTGACTGCCTGGAAATCACAGCACTGTGATACATCTCTGCACTGCAACATCTTCCTGGTTGTCTTCATATGCTGTGTCCTATAGGAGATTCCTGTAGGAAGGCAACTGCACGGTGGCCTTCTAGTGAGCTGTCCATCTGGACACATGGGAGGGAAGTGATGCTGCGCGGCTCCTTGGTGTCACCTTTGTCCCTTTGCCCTGCTATAAGATTCTGGCTCAGGACAGCAATTACATCCAGTATCTATGGTTTATAATTAACATATTTAAGAAAGGTACATAAGCCTAATTTTTCCTTTTGCACCAGGCCACTTAATAAGGTATTGGCAGGATAAATTATGTTGTCAGTCACTTTAAAGCTCTTTCCATTGCAAGAGTTATCAAAAAGGCTGCCAATGAGCATGACATTCTCAACCTGACCAAAACGCAGCGATCAAGCACTCTTTTACTCAGGCCCGTCAGTGGTTTTTAATACAAGCGTGTATTTGCATTTTAACAAGTTGCTTATTTCTTTTGTTGCTTCTTAACAAAAAGCAAAGACTGTCTTGATCCTAAGAGTTATAATCCACTGATATTCAAAAGTACTTTATTAAGCCTATGAAACCTCTCCTACAGATGATTCCAAAAGAAAACACCGTGTAGTGGAGCCATCTACAGGAATGCAAACTGAAATACAGACACGCAGGATAAGCAGAGATGTGAGGGGAAGCTCTAACAGAACCAGGGACCTGGCAACGAGAGCTACAGCAGTATAAAAATCATCACATGGCAGAAAAAGAATTATATATTGGATGGAATAATATGAACACTAATTCTTACATTCAGTTATGAATGTGTTGTTATCTTCCAGGTTAGAAGATTCGGGCTTGTCCATGTAGAGCAGTAATTAAAAAAGAAAATAAAATTATTTGGATTAATAAAAGAGCTGTTAATATGAAAATGTTAATCCCTAAGAGGTGTTTCACCTTGAGATCTGAATTTGGGTCTTATAATTATCAAAAAGAGCCAGAAAAAAAACAGAAAGGCCAGAAAAGTACCAATATTCACAGAAGGGCATCTGTTTGAAGATGGATTAAGTCTATTTGATTAGGAGGGGAGGAGATATTGAGGTATAGAAATCATGAGTGGGACAGAGAAGGCTGAACGGGTGATCCTTGGCACTTTCCCGAACAGCACTTTAATAAGTAGGCGTTAAGTGAAATGAAATGGCAACGACATCAAAACAGAAAAAGTACTATACATTGTATTTATGCATATTTTACTAGTAAAACTCACTACCAACAAGATATTACTGAGGCAACAAGCTTGGTAAGGAACACTGTTTTTTTTTTTTTTTTTTTCTGTATGGCAACTGCTAGGCTCCCATGGTGTTCTCCCTCATGACACTTTTGATATGTCCCAGTAAAGTTTTGATATCGGTGTCACAGGCTTGCTCGAGAATTTTCATTCAGAAAACAGATGACAAGTACAGTTCATAACTAGCTGGGGGCTTGAACAGAACTAATTGCATAATGGATAAAAATGTCTCACACCAAAACTGAGTAGGAGCAAACCCCGTGTAAACTGCAGCCTGATGCTAACGGAGTATTACATTCTCAGAAAGTCACACCAGCCTTACAAGCACAGCTAAATTTACAGCTTTCTTTCTCAAACTATGTTCTTACTCTTGAAGACACATCAACCTAATTGCATCTGCTTTCCTGCAACATAGACTTCACAATAATGCAAGTCATCCTCTCTACCTGTGCCTCTATGCTTGCCAAACCATTTCATGGCTTATCGGCAAATCCCTCAGTACCTTGCAATCACAATACAAATTTCCATATTTTTTTTCTTCTTGAAAACAGCACAGAAAAGGAGTTGAAATGTTCCAGGAGCACATTCAGAATATATCACTGTTACAGAAGCATGTCTACTTTGAGAAGACCAAGTGACATTCAGAAACGCATTGGACAGGAACTATTTGCAGACGAGTACTTGATAATACTTGTATGTGCAGTACATGTTCTTTCTAGAAGTTCACTCCGTTTATTAATGTGCCTGAATAATGAGCTGTTTTCTAGTGAAGAAATGCTGCATGATCCCAAAGAAAATATCTATACCAATCTTTCATAGCTATATGAGTTATTGGAGGGAAGCAGCAACATATTGTAACTACACCAAGAATTTTAGAAATCCTGTTTTATTAAAAGTGTTACCAGCTGCAATTATTTAAATTACATTCTATTAATAATTTCTTTGTGTTGGGAGCAAGTTCTTGATAAAACAGTTCCTACGTGTCAAGGAATGGTCCACAATTTAATTCTGGTGAAACTCAAGTCAGTCAATGCCTTGGAATACAACTGCTTAAACCATTCAGTTAAGATGTTCGATCAAGAGACGGGACATGAAAAGCAGCAGAGGAAAACTGTTAATGCATCTGTTCATCTATAACAATGATTGATGGATTCAATAGCTTTTGAGAATGACTCAATTATGCCATGAAAGGAATGGATGAAACCCCAGCAGTAATGCAGACTGCAGACTCACATTCACTGTATAAGGTATACAGATGCTGTAAAATGAAGTGGTAAAAACATTTTCATAGCACCAACAGCTATGTATAATCTGCTTTAATACACTGAGTGAAAATCCCATATTTCCATATTGCATTTAGCTGCTCAGGCCTAATCAGTGTGAAAGGCCGTTTACTCCAGTCAGGCTGAGGGAAGCACAGAAGCACACTGATGTCGTGGTTTTCCTCATCACACAACAATATTCTGAAGTCTACAAACAACCTTTGGAAGTCCTCAAATCCTATGAAATCACACATCCAGAGGAAAATCTAGGACTCGATTTTTGGCCGCAGCCCATCCGTGTGGTTCCACCAACTTAGTCAGTTTAGAGCAGCTGAGAACTCATCCCGTAAACTCTAAGGATGGACATTTGCCAAATGACATTAAGCTAACGGCTTGAGGTTACAGCAGCTTTATACGCAACTTAATTGCAACTAATTTTACTGCAATAATTGTAGCATGATGACTGCTGTTAAAGAGGCAATTGCCCAAGCAAGGAACTTCAAAAAAATCAGCAGCGCTTTGTAGATAGGTTTCCTGATGGTTTCAGATACATGTCCGCATTGCATACAAAAGTCAAGGGAGGCTGTGCATATGCAGCTGGGGCAAATCTGGGCCACTACTGAGCCAAACTCTGACATTTCTAGAAGTCCTCATGGGTAAAGTTATGCACACACACTTGATATCAGGTTTTAAAAAATGGCAACCAAAGTAGGCCAGTTTGGAGTAAATATATGCTGTATATATGTTGCTCTATATGCACACAAAACAGAATGAAATGCTACGTAACAAACAAAAGTACAGATAAATATTTATGGACAAATGACTGGTCGCTTCTCTTTGATAGGTCAATTTGTAAATGCTGATTTTTCAGCCATCTGAAGTGTTATACACAGCAGCCTCAGCGATCAATTGCTTTCACTCTTTTGCTGACATAAAATTTCATGCAACAGTGCATCTTGGAATGATCCATACCAGTTCCTTAATACCACGGGGAGATCATAACTCTGTAACACTTTTAATAATACAATACAAAAAAAAATAAAAATCAAACTTTGTGGGAGAGAAAGAAATTATTTAGCAATTATTATTTCCCCTTGCCTCAAAAGCTGAGTTTTACTCTTGGTAATAAATAGAAGGTACATATTCTCCAGATTGTCCGTAACAATTTTGTGATGATACTTAACACAATTGGTCTCTTCGTGTCTGCACATACAGTATCATTTCCAAAAGTTAATAATGGGTTATACTGTATTTTGCCTTGCCCAATATATATAGATACACCTTCAGCAAAATTTCTTCTCAATATTTATACTATTAATTGGACCAAATGAAAAAAAAAAAGGAAAAAAAAAAAGAGGAGGAAGAGGAAGAAGAAGGGAGCTTCCTTTACACTTGTGTCTGATGCTGGGTCTCCACAAATGGAATGTGAATATTTTCTAGGTTGAGTTCCTCCACACTTTCATAGTCACTCATGGCTACTTCGGAGTCATCAAAGCCACAGCTGGCTGAGACGTCAGAGGAGGAGGCATCTAGGGAGTTGTGCAAGGATAAGGGCATCTTACCTGCACTAACATTTTCTGTGTTCTGGCTTGGGCCAACAGCAAAAGTACTAAATTCGTTCCCAGTCTGAGACCCTGCGGTGTCTGTCTCATTGGGGAACTGGTGAGGAGGGAGGTATTGGCTAGGGTGGAAGTGCGGCCGTCGCCTGCAATCGGGGCTGAGCGTACTTGCCATTGAGACCGGCTGCGAGGGTGGGAGAGTTTCATATTGGTCCGGATAATCCTCTGGAAGAGGAGGTGGTAACTGGTCCTGGCTTAAAAACTCCTCTTCGTGAGGGGGAGGGTAGTCACTGTCAATGTCGTAGCCACCAAGGTAGTAATCTGTTTCCAGCTCTCTGGTGCTGCCGTGATGAGCCGAGCCTCCGTCTGCCGTCTCAAAGTTGGGCACTTCCTCAATGTCGGACAAACGAGCACTTGGCATCCAGTCAGAGGTATCCCAATGATACGCTGCAGCAGGAAAGAGAACCACAACACTCTGTTAGGATGGGGCTGCTGAGGAGAACAAAGCATCCTGCATGCACTCGCCTCTTAGTCCTCACAGCACGTTCCAATCACAGCATGCGCCACAGGCCGTGGACACAGGTCAGCCATGCTCTGACCGGCGGGGTAGGGAAGGAGAATAAATTGTATTATGATGCTAATGCAAACAAGCAAAGAAACAAAACATGGCCACTCTCAGGCATTTTGCTTTTTAGGTTGCTACTAGGTTGCATTGGAAACTATGAGTCCAAGAAACCAAAATGACAAAAATCTCTGAATTAATGCTTTTCAGTTATTTGAAAAAATCTATAAATGAAGTCAGCATGCTTATGGTATCACAAGTAGTCCCCCTTTCCACCTCCAATGACTTCCTTTCAAGAAAGAACTATGCAAGCAAATAATCTGATCAACTGAAAAATGGAGCCTGAAATTAAAAAAAAAAAAGTGGTTGGCCATTCTCATGCAGTATTTGAACCCAACAGAATCCAAACAAAAGCAGACACATGAAGCAGTTCAGGAAAAAAATAGACCAAGTTGTCGCCCAGCCCACCCCAACCCAGTCCAACAGGCAAAAATTGTCCCAGAAAAATCACCTCTGTTGTAGTTCTGTCCTTGATCCATAACAGACACTGTCAGATACAAAGTGAAAAGTAAAAACTGGTAACTCAGAGCTAGTTACCAGCATAGTATTACACAAGAAAATGCAAAACTCTGCATGCATATTTCTTAAGTACAGCTGCCTCGGTGTCATTTTAATAGGATTTTTAATTGTTCTTTATTTTAGCATACAAGATAAGCTTGCCCAGTCAAATGCAGACATACATTAAGAAATGATTATGTCATGTGTATTATATTCCTTTTCTATCATATCTTAATTATTTACCCTCACTGAAAAGATACGGAATTACATTAGAGCTGGACTTCTTAATACAAAAAGGGCTGGCTATCCACCATCTCTACGGTTTATAATTGCAAAGTACATTTCTCTCTCACTTGTTCACTTTGAAACAGAAAAATAAGAATCTACCATTCTCAGGGCCGGTTCAAACAAATCTGGGCCCACCTGGGCTCAGATACCATGGTGATGGGCACGGTATAAGAACCTGAATAGAATAGAATACAAAGCCATTTAATGGGGCTGTCAGCTACAATGCCCCACAACCCCATACCCACCTCCCACCTGCACTGCCATGCTAGCTGGTGGGGAGGGAGGCATTCCAGTATGGAGAGGGTGCAGGGGTGGGGGAGAGAGCAAGGAAAGAGGTTTTATGTGAGACAAGAGCGGGGAATAAGCTGCAGCATTTTCCAGATGAGATGCTCTTGTTCAGCAACATGTTATTTGGCTTCATGCAAGAAGTCACTGGGCAAGGTCTCCGGACTGCATTGCTGGAGGAGGTCTGGCCAGATAAATAGACCTTCATGGCATTACAGTACTTAACCTCTGGGGCTCAGCCACACACGAGGGCAGAGACTATTCTCCAGGCCTCCATCTATTAACATTGCTCCTAGTCTTGCTTATCACCACATAATGCATGTGGTGATGGTGATTTCTCCATTAGCTCATTAGCCAGACATAGCTTTCTACCTGCTCTGCATTAGCCTGGGGTAGAGAAGGGCTGGGGTTACTGAAGGTTTAGCAGCAGTGTCTGAACCGGCCCTAACTACTCTTCTTCTTCACTCTTTTTTGTAAAGCAGATTTTGCTGTCTTTTGGTCAGTGTAATGACACTGCACTTGAGATGCGTCAGGTCCCTCTGAGCTGCATGGTTTCAGGATCCAGGAGAACCTCACTAATTCGGTGACTCCCATGACACCTGGCAGCTCCCTAGGGAAGGATCCCCGTCCTCCCACAGCTCCGTGTCAGCGATTCGGCCCACCACACAGTGGGAACTCCGGTGTGGCTAACAATTCACTGCTTCCACCGGCTCTGCTGCAGAGCATGCAAGGTTCATAAGTCTCATATAGGGAACTGGGAAGTGGGCAAAGCATTTTCAGTGACAGCCTCTTGAAACTGCTGCCAGACTGGCTTTTTCTGACCTGTAAAACATAATTGGGAGCCAATGTGTTTGCTTAAGCTTTCCTTTAGGAAGCCAAGGCCACTTACAGTGTCTATGCTTTCTTTTCAGCATTATTTTCTTATGTTTCCAGTGGGACTTCCTTTCTGAGTTTACCTTGGCTAATTCATTTTATTTGATAGCCAGAAGAATGGCACTCTTACACTTCAGGAAATCAGTAAATGTACTATAGACAAATACCCAAGTGCCATCACTAGCTAGGAGTAAAAGTGCTTCTCAAAACTACAGTGACATTGACTCAAGAAAAAAAATAGTTTCACAAAAAGAATTTACTACATAATCTTTAAGCATTATTCATATTGGATTACCTGAAATCTGTAAAACCTGACTTAAATTTGCTAAAGACAGGTGATATTTTGGGCTTGTCTATAACTTGAGTTGATGTTTTCCCAAGGATAAGATAAAAATTGTATAAATAAATAGAAGTAAAGTTTACCTTTGGTACATCACATTTCCTCAGTGTTTTACCAAAGGGGAAAATAGTGATATTCCTGTTTTACAGGTAAGGAAACCAGTTCACTTGTAACATGATGTGCTTAAGATTACCCAGGAGGTCAGTGGTACAGCTGAGTATTGGGCCCTTGGACCCAACTGCCATGCTCTATTCAATGGGCACATCAACCCAGGGGAAAGGCAGTGGCAGGTAGTCTGCCTTGCTACGTGGCATCCATGGAGCTGTGTCTACACATCTTGTATTCAACACTGTTACTTGGGAGAAACCAGCCACCTGCCTACCACCACACTGCTCCTCTCCATGTGGTCCCATTGGAGCACATAGCCCACCTCTACTGCAGCCTGGGATACCTTACAACCTTCCTGTGTCTTCTGTTTCTGCCTCTGCAGCTAGGATAATCTCAATTATTTTGCTCCATTAGCAGCCTAATGCTGTTCTCTCTGAAGGCAATGGGAATAAGCAAGCAAAAACACTGACTTGAAGAGAAGAGGATGAAGGCCTTGACACCTTTTCTACCACCTCCAATCACCTACAGATATTTTGTGGTACATCCCTCTGGTGTTTTTGTGTTTGCTGGTGAACATGCTGATCTGCAAATCCCCATCCCTGCCACAGGTTTGCTGGTCAGTGTAGATTAGTGAGGTTCTGCTGGAATGTTTCACAATGAAAACAGGAAGCATTGTTGCATAACAAGAAAGAAAAAAAATTAAATACCTTCATTTTCTATTGTGTCAACTACATTGTTGACAAGCTGTATGACAGTCACTATGGAAGCTTGCAGGGGAGGGAAAGCAGAAAATAAAGGGAGGGGAAGGACAGCTTCAGGTTAGTATTTAAAACACACATCATATGTTACCACAATAAATTATCTCAAACAGACAAAACTGACATTGGAAAAAAAAAAAAAAGCTGCTGACCAATGCATGATTTATGCAGTGGGTTGCAGGACATTTAATTTCAGATAATCCCATACATTTTCAGAGTGGTGATAAATTCCAAACCAGCATTTCCAGAAAGGCATATGGGATGATGCGTGTCACCTCATAAATTCAAGCAGACTGGGCAGCTGATTCATTTAACCAAAACAGTATCTTGTCTACCTGACACTAATTTCTAATTCATTCTTGCTTAAAGGTCTCCAGAGACGGTGCCATGTGCTCCAAGGGATCATTATCTTTTAGACCATCACACCATCTGAAATAGTGCTAAGTTTAATCTATTTCCTTAGAGGAATGTTTACTTATTTACTGTTTGTGCTGTGCCATGTAATACCTCTGGGACGTTACGCAGGACCGCTACAACTAGGACACATCCAAGTAGGTTTGGTTCAAAGTTTGATCTGTGTTTGACAGAATATTTTCACAAATGCTTTGTGTATTCTCTGCAAACATTTTACCAAAATATACTTTTCCCTTGAAATAATTAATACAGGCTGTGCACATGTTTAACATGGAGTCAAAGAGGCCTACAATGTGTGGTCCTCTAGATAATTTGCATTTAGGACCAACATCCCTGCCTTTGAGGAGCTGAAAAAAACACACCAAAGCTCTGGTTCAGTGGGTATTAGATCCATTCCTTGTCCTGTGTCTTTAATTATGAGAAAACTGATTGCTTTGGAGCTGGCTAAGAAGGGGACCAGAAATGTTGGGCAAGACATACTTTTTTGCTTCACACAGACAATAGACTTAGAGGTCACAAGAAACATGTTAACAGTAATAGTGCCATCCAAATATATGTTGAATATTTTGAAGTCTTTGTTAAATTTTGGGCACGGGATCAAGGATCTCATCCAATTTCCCCAGTCCTTGTGAAGGCTTGGCAAAACGAGCCTTGATAAAACAAAAAACCCCCATGTTCTTTGTCTATGCTGAGCATGTTTGTGCCATCAACAGCATTGATAATTGTACAAGGGAGACTTGTATTGGCTAATGCAAAATGAACATTATGGAAAAATAAGTGATTCCATGTAATTAACTGCTGTGTGGCTGGGAAAAGTGGAGGGCAGCCATAAACTGTAAGAGCAGAACAACCAAGGCTGAAAAACTGAAGATTAAAAATCAGGGTCAGCACAGTCTTCATTGCAACTAAGGGTTGGCTCTACTGGGAGTTGAGTAGAGCACGTTCATGAAAGGGAGGGAAACTTCTGCCCCAGGCATCTGAGTACAAGAGAATACCCATATCCAGCATTGCTTGTGGGGTAAAAATTGGTGTAATCAACAGAAGAGCCTTGGACTTCTCTCCCAGCACAAGCAGCCCTTGGTCTGCAGTGAAACGGTAACCTAAAAATCCATTTTTGCCACGTCCTCCCATTGAGAATAGCTTATCATGGAAACCTGCAATATGCCTTTCAAGCGAGGTCTCAAAACAAAGTAACCATGTACAATAAATGACCACCTGAATAATGACTCTAAAGGTAATTGTAATATAAATATATATTATTAAAAATAATAATTCTAATAATTATTCTAAAAAACCCTAAAGGTTTTTTGGGAGGAGTGCAAGGGCAGAAAAGCACTGAGAAGCTTGACAAAAATATTCATGATGCTTCAGCCACAGCTGAACCAAAAGGAACTGCAAGCACACTTCTATTTAAGTGCTTTTCACAACATTTAGGAGTACCTAGGGAAGAGCTGAATGACATGACTGACGAACTGAGTCTCCAGACAGTTCATTAACCGGCAGCTGAGGAAATGAAGTGCAATTTCTTTGTGCTAATCTTTTTCTGTGTACCTGAATGAAGCTTTCCTGACATCCATCATCCCTCCCTGGCAGAAACATCTTGCCTTTTCTCAGACCCGCCGCTCAACATACATGGGCCATAGGACAAAAGTTTTCTCTGACTTTGTAGGCCTCTTTCAGGCTGTGTATGGGTTTGGCCATATCACCCACTGAGATAACAATGTAGGACATCTGTTTAACATCTTTATCGATGATTTGCATGAAGGGAGCGAGTGTATCCTCAATAAATTCGTGGATGACACCATGCTGGCTGGAAGTATTGATTTACTTGAGGGTAGGAAGGCTCTACAGAGGGACCTGGACATGATGGATCAATGGGCAACAACCAACTGTATGAGATTCAACAAGGTCAAGTGCTGCGTCCTGCATTTGGGTCACAACAACCCTATGCAATGCTACAGGCTTGGGGAGGAGTGGCTGGAGAGCTGCCTGGCTTGAACCTAGGATTTTCTGACTTCTTACATCATTAGAGGGTTTCTAGATATCACCTAAATGTTTTAAATAATATTAGAAAGAGATCTAAATAGATTTTTCCCCAGCATAATAAAGATTAAACTATTTCTTACCATTATCATCACCAGAATCAGACTGGAAGGAGCTGAGGGACTGTACTTCGGAGTTGCTGCCTTTATTACTTCCTGCAAAACAGGTCACTTCTTCAGCGTCATCAACCCCTTTACCTTTGTTGACAGCAAAAACAAAGCAAAGTGGTACTCTCTAGGTATGTACATTTTTCTATTTATACCACAGAGCCATTTAAATACTGCAAACAAGTAACCTTCTATTATTTCTGTCAGAATAAAATTATTTCCTTCAGACAGAGGAAATGTCCTATTAGTCAAGAAGGCAGCTGATGAAGATGTTACCTAGACTTTTGGAGTCTTTGAAGCCCAAAGAGCTTTTCAAGTGGCTGACACCACTGTAATCAAAGAATAAACATCTGTACCCAGTATTGCCTTTTTAGATGCCATGTAGTCACAGCACCAAAGAAAATGACTTTAAAAATGTGGTATAAACATCTTATACAGAGATTCCAGTTACATTTATCTTTACTGCTCATTTTCTAATTCAAGAGCCTCATTAAAGGCTCATTCAATGCTCAATAAACTCACTTTTCAACTTTTTGTTCATATCAGTGGCCCTTGAATCAGATTTTAATGGCTTCACCACTGACATATAATAGATTATGCTTCAATATACATTGATTTTCATCAAGGACATCCAGTCTTGACAACTCTTCTACAGTTTAGAAATGTAACTGCAGCCCATGGTATAAATTCTCATGTAATTAAAGACACATGAATAAACACATTCAACTACACGTTCTATGAGTGATAGATAATAAGGAACACAAAAAGTTATACTCCATAGTAAGCACTGAGATAGATACCTGAGCTAATTACCAATGAACAAGCTCATGTGCTGCAAACACGTAAGTACAGCTCTCCATCTGCTAGCTGTAGATATTTCTACCCAGCATGGGGCATCTCCATACAGTAATGTCTGATTTGCTCCTGCTGAGAAGCAGGGTATGTAGTAGATGGAGTGAGTGCTGCAGTAACAAATCTGCACTGCTTCCCACTCCTTGACAGCTGAGGTCCATCTCTGTGGTGTGGCCTCATGCTGTGCAGAAATTCATACAGATACCAGCAGCGTCTGCGTCAGAAGCACCCAGGAGAATACAGAACAGAGCACGTATGGGGGCTGACATGCTGATGCTTTCCATCAGCAAAACTATATTTAATGGTTAAAAAGGTCAACCACAACACAACTGTGAAAAACAACCCAAATAAATGAAAATTAATTCCTGTTTTTCACAAGAAGACATTAGCCAATGTGCTGCCTTAGATGAAAATGTGCAGGTCAGGGCACAGGTATGAGGCAGATCTTCTCTCTGTTCCTCAGTTCCTATTGCTTAAAACTACAGGACTATGAAAGTTTCTTGATCATGTAGTTTTATTTAACAGTTCTGGTTACAGCTGTGTTGCAATGGGGTTGAAGATGCATTTAAGAAAAACTACTAAAAAGACAAAACATCATAAAAATCCCCTGTATGCTAAATCAAATATGTCCCAGTCCATAGACATGTTTTGACTTGCAAGTTTAGACAATGCAGAGCTGTAACTCTGTTCCAGAAAACTGGTACTTCCTGCTATGACAGAAGATGTGAAGTTTGCCTTATCTCCAGCAACCTCTTCAGGAACAGAGGTGGCACTATGTTATCAGGTAAGAAACCATGAGAGCACCAATAGGGTAACTGTGGAGATCTGAAATTTTGTGATCACTCTGACACTGAACATGGACAGGAAGGCAACAGACTGAAAAGGTGATCCTATAAGTACTGCATGATTTTCTGCTTCATTTCATAGACACTGGAAGTAAAGAATATTAGTTTATTTGCCCCCGCTGCCTGGAGAAAGTTTAAATGTTTTCAATTTCCTTGGGAGACAAACTGCCCAAATCTAGTAGAGTTTATATCTGGGAATTCTTCCCCAAATTATTTTTTTCCAACAGAAAGATGATTGCATTGTATTACTTGAAGAACTAACACTCAGAGCACTTACTCATATGTGCTTTCTGAACAAGTGAAATAAATGCATTTAGTCATACTTAATGCATAGAAGTAGAGGTCTTGTATGCCTACTGTTAATTATATCCTTTCAAAATTAAATTAAATGACTTCTTGGAGAGATGTAACAATTGTAAATGTATGAGGCTGGACCATTAAGAGTGCCTGTGCCACTGCACCTGCTGCAGCCTGAAGGCAACCTTTACCTATGGTGAGGAAGAGCAAGAGTAGCAAGTGGTACTTACTTTCTGTCCCAGCATCCCACGTGCTCTTCCTGATGGAGTCACAGTCGGAGCGACAAGGAGACACAGCAGGCAAGTTTGGAGCTACGCTGCACACCACCACCCCACGCCTGGCCGTTAGTATTCGAGGGGACTCAGGATGAAATGTTGTCATCTCCTGGTGCTCCACACCAAGCCCATCCACTATCTTGTCCAGGTTATTCCTCGAGTCACTCTGGAAGCATGGGGTATAGGCCATTGGCCTCACTGGGACCTGCGGAGGCCCAACCTCTTGGTAGATATTTCTGCTGTCTCCACTGTTCCTGATGTTCTTGAACTGGATGCCGTTGCTCTTGTTGAGCAGGGCAGCAGTAGCTGGATCCTGTACGAGAGTGATGTTGTTGCGGGAATAGTTCTTCCTAAAAACTTTCTTGCGAAAAATGATAAAAAGGATGATCAACATAAATATGACAAACAAGACCACAGCTATTCCTATCAGCTCCTCCTTGCCAACGTATGAATGCCCAGCTTGTATATTGGGAACCACCACGGGGCGAAGACCACAGTATTGCCCCACATAGCCAGGGGTGCAGTTACACAGAAAGGAACCAAATATGTTGACACAGGAGCCACCATTTTCACATTCTTCTCTTTCACACTCATTGATGTCTTCTTCACACCTTAAAAGAAGAAAAGGAGAGTTGAGTTTGGTGAACACCTAGCAAACAGCCTAGATTGTACATGATGACTTAGCTTGTCAAAGTGGTACCATTACGGTTAACACTTTGCTGGTCGTTGGCAAATAATCTTATTATTGTCATATTATTTAATAGCATTTAATTTTTTTCTACAGCTATTCCATGGCTTTTTAAGACAATAAAATGGAAACATCAAGAAGGAAATAAGAGTTCAAAGCACCTGATAGGAAGAGGCTCCTTGACCATAATGAGGCTCACTGAATGCAATAGAGAATCTCTGCGTTCTTACATTGTTTTTTGATCAACCCATAAGACTGAATACAAAATATTAGGAGGATTCAAGGAGAAAATAGTTGATAAAAAATATAGTAAAAAAATCAGAGTATTTATTTAAGAGAAGTGGAGGATGTACTGGCTGTGTAAAATTATTTAGAGCTGGAAATAAAATGAGGAAATATTAAAGAAGCAGGGGAAAAAAACAGAACAGGAACCCTAAAGACAGAAAGGAAAACCGGAAAGAAGACGTGTTTTTAAAAAAGACAGAAAAAAAAGTGCAAACAGTAGGCAAACTAGATGAGAAAAGAGTATGTTGATGGGCAGGTCAGAGGATTTTCTGTTTGTACACCAATGATCAAGGCTAGGATTTTAAAAAGTGAATGCAATAAACTAGGCTTTTATGTCAGGGCTAAGATGACTAAATAATCTATACATTTGAAAAAAAAAAAAAGATTACATAGCAGCTTACACAGGCTTTATGAGATTGCTCAAAAAGCCTCTGACACTTAGGTCCAAAATTTAGAATCATAGAATGTTGTGAGTCGGAAGGGACCCACAAGCATCATCGAGTCCAACTCTTGCCCCAGCATAGGACAGTCACAAGATTTAGATCATGTGTCTGATGGCCTTGTCCAAATGCTTCTTGAATATTGTCAGGCTTGGTGCCATGACCACCTCCCAGGGGAGCCTGTTCCAGTGCTCCACCACCCTCTGGGTGAAGAAACTTTTCCTAATGTCCAATCTAAACTTGCTCTGGCATGTCTTCCTGCCATCTCCCCTGGTCCTATCATTGGTTGCCAGAGAGAAGAGATCAGAACCTGCCCGTCTTTTTCCCCTTGTGAGGAAGTTACAGAGCACGATGAGGTCTCCTCTCAGTCTCCCCTTCTCCAGGCTGAACAAATAAAACAACTTCAGCCTCTCCTCATATGACTTTGCCTTTAAACCCTTCACCAATTTGTGGCCATCCTAAAATTTAGGAGGCCAAGTTCAGAAAAGCACTCCTGAACATGCAAGCCTCATGGATTTCTCAGCTGTCACTAGCTTAGACCTGAAGTAAGTGCTAAGTTGTGCATGTTTTATTGCTAAGTGAATCATAAGCTTTTGGGTACAAAATGTCTGATCAAAAAGCCCACCATCACTGATTTGAAAAGCTCCCACTGCCCACCTGGAGAGGGTCACTTACGTTACTCCTGTCAGGCCATTTCTACAGTTGCAGATGAAAGCATTGCCGATGGGATCGCATGAGCCTCCATTCCGGCAGGGATTTGGGAAGCAGGCTGTGATCTCCGACTCACAATTCCTTCCCGTAAACTGGGACAGGCAATTGCACTGGTAGCCTGCAAGGTGAGGGATGCAGAGAAACAAATCAGAAGCCTACCACTGTATCTGTCTAGAAGCAAGAGGATCCATTTGGCTACTTTACTCCAAAAAATATATATTGTACTGTGGGGGGAAGAGGATGTTTATACTAATTTCTGGTATGTCTGTGTGGTCCACACTAATGCAGGTTGAGTTTATTTATTTGGCATGTCTGGACAATTGGAGTTGATGTCTACAACCAGGGACCAAAGGAACAGCTGCAGCCCAGACCATCCTGATTGTCATGATTGAGATAAGAATAAACGTCATCCATGTACAACTTTGGTCACAAGAAATATTCTAAATCAAGGATGCATCTCCCTGTATTTTTGAAAATGCAGATGATATTGCTGATAGCGGCAGCCCACACTCCATTTGGGGCTTCACTGAAGAACAAATACATGAGCTGAGAGCTTTTCCACATCTGCCTTTTATAAGGAGGACACAGTAGGGATGTGACAGTAATAAAACACTTGATAGTGATAATTACCACTTCCATAAAGCACATCATCCAGACGTGAACTATAAACTTCATAATACCAACTGACCTGGGTATCACCAGCCCTAATCAGAGTTGATGTGCAGTGTGTGCTACTAAAAGACTGATTAATCACTGGCTGCAATACATCAGATGTAACTCTACTCAAGTGGAGGGGGACCCTGTGGGGGATCAAAGCCCTACTTCCATGTTTCTTGCCAACAGAGGAGCAACATCAGAGTGAAAAACAGTTCTTAAACCCATCAGTTCACTCTGCAAAGTATCAAATGACAAATTTCTTCCCCCTCCCCCCCCACTCTACTTGCAATTTCATATGGCACAATGCCATTAATAAAAACTTTATTTAAGGTCACAAAGAAATCCAGTGAGGCAGTGCATCTCTTTATATTGTGAACTGGATACTGAAATCTGAGTGCTTTTTCACCCAAAAAGAGCAAGGAACTGGTAGGTTGTGAAAGCCACAAGACAGCTAAGGCAGTCCCTGGGATGGAAATCAGAATTGCTGAACTAGCAAAATGTTCCTGGACATCTGTAAAACACCTTGGCTGATTTTTTTAGAAAACTACTTACACAATCCAAATGTCCCAAACAGATGTGTAGGCAAGGTTCAAGTTCCAGTTACAGGGTTCATGTACTTACTGAATATAGCATGTTAAGCAACTGGAACAAGGAACCTTCCTGCCATTAATACTGCTGGAGTTAGAGCTGAAATGGTTGAATGCAACTCAATTTAGTGTCAAAATTATTGCAGATCAAGCTGATGTAGCTGAAATATTATTCCTCAGTGGTGAACTTTTAAAACGTATTTTTAAAATTTACTGTATCTATACATCTGAAAAATAAATACTTATTTTAAAAGCCACTGTTCTAGGAAACAACTCTGTTCCAGCAGAGTTACAAAGAAAAGAATTTCACAGAAACAATATGGAAAAGCCCAGTGGAGGCACAAGGCAAAAGCAATTTTGCATTAAGACTCCCAAATCTTCTATGTCCTATCCGGTTCAATTTGCCTTGTTCAGTTACTCTAATTGAATTCTTTCATGAGAACAGGCTTTAGAGAACAAACCTGGAACGAGACTTGTTGGCGTATTCAGTCAAGAGTCCAATCCTGTTTAATTGAAGATAAATGAAATAGATACTAAAATATCATGCTGTTTCGCTGTCCTGCTACACGAACGGAGACAGAAGCACTGCTGTTTTCAAGGTTGCAAAGTTAAGAAGAGAAATGATTCGACTTCAGGGATTCCCGGAAAGTATATTCGGTCAGCATCAACATGATGGGATTATTTTTTTGGGTTTTATACATATTTCACTCTGACAGTTTGAACAACTTTCTGGACCTGCAGAGACCTCGGATTGAAGAAATACAAAAGTGTGACTGCACCAGGCACTGTATCTTGATGCCATTCCTATGAAAGATTTATTGTTAGTTGGCAAAGCATCTGATCTAGAAATACCGTAGGTAGAAATCAGAGCATGAATAAATAAAGCTGTTTCAGTGCTTCATTTTATGACTGAACAGTGACACCTATAGTTCAAAAATGTGCAGTAATGTTTTATATATTTTTATGGTCTCGAGTTTAAGTGACATGAAAATGTTCAATTCAAATATGAAAGTCTATTCATAAACAAATCTGTTGCCTTATATAATAGCAGAATAGATATATTCTATTTGCTAACTGATATTTTAAATGTATATAACATTAAAGTGACTTTAAAAATCAACTTTCTGTACCTAAGTTACTAGTTGCCAAGAATATGAGATAAAACCTTTGAATAACTTTATTTTCACATCTTTTGTTTGTTTCAGCTGATTAAGTTCTGGGTTCTTCTGTATTAGAAGGAGTGTGCCCAGCAGCTTGAGGGAGGTTCTCCTCCCACTCTACTCTGCCCTGGTGAGGCTGCATCTGGAATATTGTGTCCAGTTCTAGGGCCCACAGTTCAAGAAGGACAGGGAACTGCTTGAGAGAGTCCAGCACAGAGCCACCAAGATGATGAAGGGAGTGGAGCATCTCCCTTATGAGGAAAGGCTGAGGGAGCTGGGTCTCTTTAGCTTGGAGAAGAGGAGGCTGAGGGGAGACCTGATTAATGTTTATAAATATGTAAAGGGCGAATGTCAGGAGGATGGAGCCAGGCTCTTCTCAGTGATGCCCAACGGCAGGGCAAGGGGCCATGGGGGCAAGCTGGAGCATAGGAGATTCCACGTAAACATAAGGAAAAACATTTTCACTGTGAGAGTGATAGGACACAGGAACAAGCTGCCCAGAGAGGTTGTGGAGTCTCCTTCTCTGGAGACATCAAAAACCCGCCTGGACTTTCCTGTGTGACCTACTGTGGGCGATCCTGCTCTGGCAGGGGGGTTGGACTAGATGATCTTCTGAGGTCCCTTCCAATCCCTAACATTCTGTGATTCTCAGTCGGTAACATATTCTTTTATTCACTGCAGAAAAATTTAAGAAATACTGATTTGGTAAAAAAATAAAAATAAAAATCCTTTTACCTTTAATCTCTTCCAATCCCTAACATTCTGTGATTCTCAGTCAGTAACATATTCTTTTATTCACTGCAGAAAAACTTAAGAAATACTGATTTGGTAAAAAAAAAAAATAAAAATCCTTTTACCTTTAATCTTTACCTTTAATCTTTTATAAAAGGAACATGGATTTATTCATTATTATTGCTGCCTGTTTTTTATATTAAAGATGTACTAACTTCAATTAACATTTTATACTAAGAGGTGATGAAACTGAATGCTCCAGATGGGTCATAGCTCTGTTGGGCGATGCATGAACAAGACCAAAATAAAAGTGTGCTTCTGAAAGCCTAGATTTTTGACTGAATTTGATTATTGATGGTGGAACACTGTCAGATATTAGAAGACTGAAATATTCAGTATAGATTCTAAGACTAGGGATCAAAGTTAGAAACAGAAAAGTCAATGAAACAAGACTATGGAATTACAGCATGTGTGACTGACTTTTCCTCCTGCTGGAAGCCCTGCCATGCACCCGCCAGCACTGACCCACTGGCCAAAGACACAACACTTTCCCAGGACACACACGCTCAGAGCTGCAGAGCATTCGCCCGGGAGGTCTCCAACACAGCAAAGCTTATGCTGAAATTCATGGAGTAGGGAAGTGAAGAGCTGATATGATGGCTTAGTGCACAGCAGATATTGAGTTGGCCAGCAGACTTGCCAGACCTTTTATGCTTTTCCAAACCCCTCAGCAGAGGCTGTAATTTTGCCTACTACTGTGTGTTGTAGCCACATGGCCACAGGCAACGTGCAATTGTAAAGAAAACCCTTTTGGTCAGGATTGCATCCCAGGTCTACTAAAGATTTTTTATTATACTTTTAATTTAATATCCTCAAGAATAATAAGTAAACTTTCCCATGTTTGAGGACAACAGAACTGAAGAAAAGGCTAAGTGCCCTGTCCTCTCAGCAGGGGAGAAAAAATCCCCTTTCAAGCAATCTAGGTCTTGCTCCTGTTCACAAAGAACACTGGAAGTCTTGGAAATTCATCAACATTTAAGATCATACAGTCCACCTGGGTTCAAGAGATACAAATATTTAATTTTGCACACTGAGTCTGGAAAATGTTGATCTATATTCTCCAAGGCAGCAAATTTTGTGATGCTTTGTTACCACTGTATTTCTTCAGAGGGAACCAGTGGAAAAAGCTAGAAAGCTCTGGTAAACACACTTGGAATACTACTGGGGTGGGACCAATGAGCAACGATACAGCCCTTTTAGGCTGGATCTACACTAGCAAGCCGGGCAGAGCAACAGTGGTGGGTCTGTGGAGCAAACCAGTCAGTGCTGAGGACCCAGCACCCTCAGTGTACACATTTCAGGGTTTTAGAATCATGTTAGCTGCACTCCTGGTGCACATCTTCCAGCTCAGCACCATCCAGAGGGAAGCCTGGTCCTGCCCTCTGAGACCTCACCTCTGCACAGCGGGAAACAACGTACAGTGAGAGAAGATGATGATAAGATTAATGTCAAAACTAATTTGTGATCTAAAACCTTACGTAGACATAGCCTTCTCCTGCTTATGAATAGTCTTGGACTTTCTGGTTGCTTTATAAGCTTCTCTCTGCTCTTCCACTAACCTGAGTCCTGTCTATGTAGTTGCATTTCACCTTCTCACAACAACTTCCCATCCTGCCTTGTTGGCATGTCCCTGTCCAGAGGAAAAGGAATTTTGCAGCCCAGACCTTGCCGAAGAGCAGCACGCTGTAAGCGAGGACACTACACAGGCTTCCTGACTGTACCTATGTTTGCCTGGCATAAGGTAATAATAATAAGGTAATAAGCAGAGACAGTGGCAAAAGGCAGGCACGGTGCCATCAGCAGATGGGATGCTGTTATGCAGTGAACATCTCTGTTGGTAGCATTGCCAGCCTGAGCATCTGAATGTCTGTCCATCCTCAGGTTTACTTGGCTTTATTAAAGAGGATGCTCTGAATTGCTGC